AAAAAAAAAAAAAAAACACCCGAGCATAGCGACCCATGAATTCAATTGTAAAAACCATATATCGAAAGGAGTCCCTTCAAGGTGTTGGAAGACCACATGCGATGGTCGCATGTAGATGGTATTACTGATGGCGCCATATTGAGAGCTCTGGAAATGGACATATTCGGGGTAGGAACTTCCTCGTTGCTTGATGAGAAACATCGAAAAACTTGAACTCAATAGCGAGCGAATGATGTAAACTCGATATCCATAGAATGGTGCTAGCCTATTGTCTCGTTGTATAGTCGATGCAGCATCGTGTTTGGGAAAGATTTCTCAAACGCATCCAGAAATATATCTCAGTTTTCTCAGGTCCGAAACTAATTTTAAAAATGTTTCTGTCGTACGATGTCTTTCTTCCATAGGAGACGGCCATGGTCGCTAGTTTTTTGCCGATACAAAAACAAGCGAGCAGAAAACATGCCTTGCTGTTCCAATTCTTAGTCTCCGATTATCGCCTGCACTATTTTCTCCATATCCAAATCAATTATCTCAGTGCTCTCCATTGGATTCTGGCTCACGAGTGAAATGAAGACCGGGAGCGTTTTCTCGGTTCTAAGGACACTGCTTTGGCAATGTATGGGGCGCTCGAGGATCTTGCTTTTGAACGGCTTTTCAAGGTTTTCGAAGTCCACCTCGATATCTCGCTGCCATTCTGCCATGAGTAGATTGTAATTGGCGCCATGTACCACCTCAGGATTTCTAAGCGACGGCCGGGCTGGCCCTACTTGAAAGTGGAAGCTGGACAAATCGACGTTCAAGCCACATCCCACAAATTTCGTGAACGCCTCTTTCAATGTCCATAGTTGGTTAAAAAACACGTACCGCTGAGAAACGTCCTCGATCGCCCCGAGCTGCCTCAACTCTACCGGAGCGAAAATCCCGGCGAACTGCTCAACAAACTCGGTCTCGGAAATGCTGCTTTGCGTCTCATGCGAGAGGTCAACCCCAACTGGAGTCGACCCATTGAACTGCACAACGATAGCCATGATGTCGTTGGAGCTAGACGAATTGTACTCGATGCACAGGCCGTTCTTCACATCCAATCTTGGTTTGCCGTACTCGTTCACGCCAAGGGGCAAGTCTTCAAAGGGCCGAAAAACATCGGCACTACCCCCAGAATACAACGCGTAGTTGAGAACCACCTGAGCGAATAACCCTAGCAAGAGGGCCTTGACCGGATCGTGTCTGGCATTGCGAATCTTGAGTTGTTGTTCTAAAGACAATTTACGGAGACAGAGTTCGAAATTGAAGTCGTCACTAAGAAGCTCTCGGAGCCTCTTGCTGGCCAGCGATGCGGTGAAGACCACAAAAGTCGCGCCTTCTTCTGTGATAGCGAGCCGCGGCCAGTTTCCTACCATGATGGAGTTCGACACTGTAGTGTCTTTTTTTTCGCACACGGTCAGTGTCAAGTTTGGTGAGACGCGCTGATGGTTCAGA